AAAATTATTTTTCTGTAATATATTAATTAGAATTTTGAAAAAGCATGGGTCATACTTTTAAAATATTTTCTTCATAATCTTATGAATTATTATTTATTTATTTATATTCTTCATTAATTGTATAAGTATTATTTTATTTTGAACAATAATTTTTATAATACATATATCAGTTGCTTTATTTTTCTTATAGAACTGAAAAATTACAATTACAGTTAACTCCTTTTAAACCACTACCATTGGTTTTCAGGCCATGGTGGAAAGGTGAGGGTGCTGGTTTATCGAAAACAGCATGCAAATAGGACTGTAAGGATAATAAGAACAATTATATAAATTAATCACTTATTCTTCTATATTATATTTATTGTTTTTCACTTATGAAAAAACCTGTACAAAGTAGTTTGAACTACATTATTTCCTCAAGTCATAGAGATAATAAAGATTATCTGTGCTGATAAGCATCAGATAATCCTTATTAGATGCCCTTATCTCCAAACAACACCAAATTTCAAATTTTCTCTAACTTTTTTCACAGTTACTGAACTTCTTTCACAGTTACTAGAGGATTTTCTATATCATCACTGTTGTGGTTTCCTTGACTATCTTCTTTTCTCACAAAATTAATTATTTCTTCCCAGGTTCATTTCCCAAAATTATCCTTATTACAGTCATTTCAATCAATTCTTCAGTAGCAAGATAGCTGAGTTTACTACTTAACATTCAAACATTTATTATAATCCTTGTCAATTTGTGTCTTCTCTCTGAATAGGCTAGTGTGCAGCCAGCAATTTTTATTGTCATAGATGTCATTTCATTTCTCTATATTTTTTAATTAGTCTCAGTGCAGATTTCAGAAACATCTCAATAATAGTTTTGTCATTTATGCATTTGATAATTTTCCTTATTTAATGGCATCTGTAATTAGATTTAAAACTTTTTATTATGCCAGCATCAAGTGGCTGCAGAATTCCCATGTAATTTTCTGGAAAGAATTGTATTTCCACATTGCTCAGATTAACTGTCTTATAACTGTGCATTATCAATTAATAGCAAGACATTACGATTTTCTGTCTTCATATCCCTATTAAAATCTCCAACAAATTCTTGGAAAAGTAGGGATATCACCCCCATCCCTTCTTGTTATACTTGTAGTGGCAATAAACAGAAGAATCAAAATTTTTAATGAGACTTTGCAAATCATATAATAACAGTCCAGTATTTTTATCATTACCATCTGAATTACAACAAAAGGTAATTATAATTCTATCTTTATTCTTGCAGTCTTTCACAAGTGCATGAGCAATCATTTTGTCAGGTTGTTAAAGCAGTTTCATTCATATTATACACATCTTTCATGTCAAACCACTATCATTGTCAACAGACTAGTTCTTTCCCCCTTCAAATCATTTAAATCAGTGTTTCTCAACAGGGGCGATATCACCCCCATGTGGGCATTTTTCCAAGTTCAGGGGGCAATTAGCAACAATTTATATTTTGGGGGGATGAAAAACAATTTTCTGGGCAATATAGTAAAATATTATATTGAGAATAATTAGATATTTTATTCGTTATATTGTACAATAATTAAACAAATAACATTATACTAGTCACTAGTCTATTCAATGCAGTACGAATTTGGCATTAGCCTTGTCCCTCAGCATCGGAATTTTGTAGTGAAGGGGGCGATACTACGTAACGGTTTTATTGAAGGGGGCGACAATTCGTTAGAGGTTCAGAAACACTGATTTAAATCAACTTCAGTAATTTCACAATTTTTTTTTTTTGATGTGATAAGCCATGACACTGTACAAAATGCAGCCACTCATTTCTGTAACATTTTAAAAATGCTTATATTCATCTGCTGCCCAAATATTTCTGCTTGCTTTCTTATAACATCATGTGACAGCACCATTCTTTGCATTTACATGTATAATCCATATCACTAATGCTTTTTCAAGCTCATCATATTTTCCAGTTTTCATTTTTCTAGTAGCTCTATTTTCTGTATTCATCCACTTGCTTCTTTGGTTTAAAATATTTCCTACCATCTTTCTATTTATATTTTTCTTCCAGACAATAAAAAAGTGACTGGAAATATATTTTTGAAAACAGGATGAATGGGTTTCACTATATGCACAGATTTCTTGCTTTTTGCTGATTATAAGGATAGTTTTCTTCTCCATTGCATAAATAACTGAAACAATCACAGTATACAGTACAATATATATTCTACAACAAGAATTCAGAGCACTAAAAGATCTAAACAGTTTCAGACTTGACTGACATAATGTGTGTCCAGCTTTCTAACCTTTATTTGGGCTGTGCACAATCTTAATCATCATAACAGTTATTTCCTAACCCTTGGGTAAGAAAAAACCCTTACTTGTGATGAAATGTTTTGTTCCTCACATTTTAAAATTGCTGGGAATGCCCATTCCCACAATATTTTACCTTAATTTTTGTGACAATAAAAAATTTTGGTGGTTTACCTGAAATATTTTGTATGGAAAATAACAATTTTATTTTAAATTACAGGTGAAATATTGAAAATTGGGGTGGCAGTTTATGCTATTGATTTACTATGGAACAAATTGTTTTTAAGAGACTTTTGGTGAAAAACCCAGTGTAGCCTTACTTGATGGGGCAGTTTCAAGGGGTTGACTGTAATCAGTTGTAATCCTTAATAAAAGATTTTTTCCCCTTATCTGGAATACCAAAGAATAAAATTAATTCTACTTTTACAAACAGGGAGAAAAAAACATTTATCAAATTCCTGAAAATTCGACTTTTAATCTTGTATTTACTCTGTTCAACAATTTTAAGATGCAATTAAAACAATGAGGGGGAGAAGTTACAAACATTTCAATATACTGTAACAGAGTACTGCAGAAAAAAGCAAACAGCTGGCTTCAAAAAAGATTCATAGAACGGCTCAAAATAGTAATGTGAACTTAAGAAATAAAACAAGTGACTAAAACAATTAACATAGTGCTGATTAACAAAATAACCAATACTGACATAAATTTAAATTACAAAAGATAGCTGTTTATATGTAAAGTTAATGTATATTTCATTTCAACATACAATTTGATTCTTACATTTTTTAACATTCTTACTTGCTCCTTAATGATGGGTTAAATTTCATTTGTCAGCTAAATTACATTACAGTTCCTCTGTTTCTGTTCCTTTGTTTTCTCAAACAATTTTTTAAATCTAATAACAATGTGACTATTATCCCCAAATACCTTAATCCTATTAGCTCTCACAATTACAAAGGGATTGTCAACCAAAAGAAAAAGACACACACAACAAATATGAAATGACTAGGCCACAATATATCATATTTCAAAAATATATTTGTAATTTACCAGGATTATTATTATTCTTGCTTAAACTATACTTTCTCATTTTTCATCAATGTTTAATCAAAACAATTCTATTCCAAATTAAAAACAATCACAAATTCTGAGGAATTATATTTTACAAATAATAACATGTATAAAAAACAAACACACGTGTAAATAAAAGACAAAAATCAAAATTAAAAATATTCCAGTTATAAAAAAAAAAAACAAATTGCTAAAAATAGTACAGTAGAGTCCTGTAAACTCAAATGTAGATTGAGAAGGTAATGAGTTTTACAGCATAGTGAAGATGCTAGTCTAAATAGTGGAATTTTCACAAAGATATTATATTTGCAAATTCATATATGTATTAACTACATACTAATAGTAACTATTTCTATTTGTACAGTAAGACCCCGCTTAATGCGGGGGATGCGTTCCTAGACAACAAATCGCTAAGCGAAATGGCATTAAATGAGGTCATTTTAACAGAGTAAATAGGGATAGGGAAACACACGACAAAAAATAAACAGATTTTACTTTAACTTATTTTTATATTAATTTGTATAATAATATATGTTAAATAACACAAATATATGCACACAGAAATGTAAAGTTCATTTTTTGTGATGAAGGTCCTGACTTTTCTGAAATTCTTGTTTTTTGTTATAAAGTCATGAAGTTTCATTTGTCACATTTTTCTTTCCTTAAGCAAATATTGGTAGCAGAAGATCACATCCAAAATGCTTCATTTTGCTCTTGCACGCCTTTCAAAATCTGGATCATTTGCTACAATTTGATCAACAATTTCAGTTATCTTACCAAACTTTTACTACGGAAATATGTAAAGAAATTTATGGGTTCTTCATTTTCAGAATCTCAATTTTCCAGTTCCACGTGAATTCCATGTTCTGTAAGTTCTTGAAGAGTGTCGTTGGTAAGACTCTCACCAGAAACCTGCTGTAACTCCTCAATATCCTGCTCATCTACATCTAGTCCTGCTGTATTGATTAGGTTGAGTTTGGGTGATAGGCTCTTCTCATTAAGAATTTCTTTAATACCTTCAGCCATAACTTCTTCCACACTTTGTTCGTGCATTTATCAGTTAATTCTTGCCAAGTGAAGTTGATATTTCCTATGGCATTCATGATGTCATAATATGTATGAATTGATGAAATGCTGCAATAACTTAAAATCAGCGTAAATTTTGAGCTTTTTTTTAAGGCTTCGAGCAGATACCGCATTATATTGAATCCGCGTTAAGCGGGGTCTTACTGTAGTTAAATTTTTAATTAAAAAAAATATTAGCTATTCAATGTTTTTTTTTCAAATTAGTAACATTTACACCATGACATTTTGCAATGGCACCTTGAAAAAAGGGACTATATTCTTTGTTCATGCATGGAATTGATGCAATTATTGAATATTGCCAGTTAAGAATGATAACTTATTTGATCCCAGTGTTAAATTAGTGGTAAAAATAAGATTACGTGTTATTTTTTTGGACAAGACAATGAGTTTTACAGAATATCAAATAATCATGAGTAGAGTTTCTTGAAATCTACTACACTCTTACATACAAATTACAAGCAATATGAAAAATTATAAAATAAAAATACAAACTGTAAACTTAATTTTTATTTTTGTTTTATTATTTACCTTTAATATTCTTTGTCCTAATATATTATGAGCTCCAAGTTCTTCTTTTTCTAAATGAAACAACTGAGAATCATCTTGGATAACCATCTCTATAATAAAATTGTTTGTATAACATTTTAACTTATATTAATACTTATATTAGAGTTTCCTTTCTGTGATAGCTATACATACTTTTTCCATGTCCAAAGAGTTCAACAACATCAGACTTTTTGGTGTCAAGAGTATTTTGCCAAAATGTTTCAATATCCCTTCCTTGAATCTCTTTCCAACATTCTGAAAATACTGTTTTCAATGATGGATCATCTGAAAAATTAAATTATTTGTTACAAAATAATGATGAAAGCACAAAATATTATGAAACCTTGAATTAAAATATAAGTTCTAATTACAACAAAACAATAATAACAATCAAATAATTTTAGGTTCAATAATTTTCAGTTTACAACAGAAGAACAGATATCTTTACCTAATTTGAAATTACATAATAGTCTAAAAATAAAAATATTGGAATTTTTTTTCTTTGTTATAAGCCTTAAAAATAGATGAACAATTTTTAAAACTTTTAAACATAAAAGTTAAAGTCAATATTTTCAGCATATTTAGTTCAAGCTTCAAAGTCAATTTGCAATTTCATAAATAGTTCTTATCACAAAATTTATAAATTCCTAGCATTTAAGGGTAAATAAAACTCATATTCATTGTTAAAAAATATGAGAGTATTATTGTTTGTTTGTTTCTTACATTTAATATATGTTTATCAATCAATCAAAATAATTTTTTAAGAAGTACAAGAAGTTACCAACTTATTTTAAAAAAGTAAGTTTTATTGAAGATAGCAAGGAACATTCAAAAGTTACAGAAATGAGTCAAAAATCAAAATATAAATTAGACAATATCTTCAACATAGATAACATTCAAAGTTCAAAAAACATAAAAGTTTTATTAACTTACTAGATAATAGCCTTTTAACTCATTTGTATTAAAAATAATCAATCTGTTAACTATTTTAGTTGTACTGTATATAAGAGAATAAATATTCAACATCAGAATCTATAATTTCCATTCATAAATTCCATCTTACACACGTTAAATATTTATAATGTAGAAATTGGATATTTTCAAAGGGAATTTGCATAGCAATTTTAATAATAATAATAATAATAATAATAATAATAATTCTCCCGTGGTCACCACCTGGTCGTGGTGGGAGAGCCCAGTAATTTTACTGAACCATAGGGCAATGCAGGCTGGAGCACAAGCTCCTGGTAGGGACACCCATGCCAGTAAGGTCTATGGGGAGAAATGAAGCTAAGAGTGACCACACACCCACATTCTGTGGAGATA